GGACTTTCTACCTACCTCACAGAAACACAATCCTGCAGTGTACTGCTGTTGTATATAATGTTACAATATTGTTGTGGTCAGAGCCGCAGGACACGGAGGTGGTCACAGAGCGTCTGTTCCCTCTATTGCTGGACTTTCTACCTACCTCACAGAAACACAATCCTGTAGTGTACTGCTGTTGTATATAGTGTTACAATGTTGTTGTGGCCAGAGCCGCAGGACACGGAGGTGGTCACAGAGCGTCTGTTCCCTCTATTGCTGGACTTTCTACCTACCTCACAGAAACACAATCCTGCAGTGTACTGCTGTTGTATATATTGTTACAATGTTGTTGTGGTCAGAGCCGCAGGACACGGAGGTGGTCACAGAGCGTCTGTTCCCTCTATTGCTGGACTTTCTACCTACCTCACAGAAACACAATCCTGCAGTGTACTGCTGTTGTATATAGTGTTACAATGTTGTTGTGGTCAGAGCCGCAGGACACGGAGGTGGTCACAGAGCGTGTTCCCGCTATTGCTGGACCTTCTACCTACCTCACAGAAACACACTCCTGCAGCATACTGCTGTTGTATATAATGTTACAATGTTGTTGTGGCCAGAGCCGCAGGACACGGAGGTGGTCACAGAGCGTCTGTTCCCTCTATTGCTGGACTTTCTACCTACCTCACAGAAACACAATCCTGTAGTGTACTGCTGTTGTATATATTGTTACAATGTTGTTGTGGCCAAAGCCGGAGGACACGGAGGTGGTCACAGAGCGTCTGTTCCCTCTATTGCTGGACCTTCTACCTACCTCATAGAAACACAATCCTGCAGTGTACTGCTGTTGTATATAATGTTACAATGTTGTTGTGGCCAGAGCCGCAGGACACGGAGGTGGTCACAGAGCGTCTGTTCCCTCTATTGCTGGACTTTCTACCTACCTCACAGAAACACAATCCTGCAGTGTACTGCTGTTGTATATAATGTTACAATGTTGTTGTGGTCAGAGCCGCAGGACACGGAGGTGGTCACAGAGCGTCTGTTCCCTCTATTGCTGGACTTTCTACCTACCTCACAGAAACACAATCCTGTAGTGTACTGCTGTTGTATATAGTGTTACAATGTTGTTGTGGCCAGAGCCGCAGGACACGGAGGTGGTCACAGAGCGTCTGTTCCCTCTATTGCTGGACTTTCTACCTACCTCACAGAAACACAATCCTGCAGTGTACTGCTGTTGTATATATTGTTACAATGTTGTTGTGGTCAGAGCCGCAGGACACGGAGGTGGTCACAGAGCGTCTGTTCCCTCTATTGCTGGACTCTCTACCTACCTCACAGAAACACAATCCTGCAGTGTACTGCTGTTGTATATAGTGTTACAATGTTGTTGTGGTCATAGCCGCAGGACACGGAGGTGGTCACAGAGCGTGTTCCCGCTATTGCTGGACCTTCTACCTACCTCATAGAAACACAATCCTGCAGTGTACTGCTGTTGTATATATTGTTACAATGTTGTTGTGGCCAGAGCCGGAGGACACGGAGGTGGTCACAGAGCGTCTGTTCCCTCTATTGCTGGACCTTCTACCTACCTCACAGAAACACAATCCTGCAGTGTACTGCTGTTGTATATATTGTTACAATGTTGTTGTGGCCAAAGCCGGAGGACACGGAGGTGGTCACAGAGCGTGTTCCCGCTATTGCTGGACCATCTACCTACCTCATAGAAACACAATCCTGCAGTGTACTGCTGTTGTATATTGTTACAATGTTGTTGTGGCCAGAGCCGCAGGACACGGAGGTGGTCACAGAGCGTCTGTTCCCTCTATTGCTGGACCTTCTACCTACCTCACAGAAACACAATCCTGCAGTGTACTGCTGTTGTATATATTGTTACAATGTTGTTGTGGCCAAAGCCGGAGGACACGGAGGTGGTCACAGAGCGTGTTCCCGCTATTGCTGGACCTTCTACCTACCTCATAGAAACACAATCCTGCAGTGTACTGCTGTTGTATATATTGTTACAATGTTGTTGTGGCCAGAGCCGGAGGACACGGAGGCGGTCACAGAGCGTGTTCCCGCTATTGCTGGACCTTCTACCTACCTCACAGAAACACAATCCTGCAGTGTACTGCTGTTGTATATATTGTTACAATGTTGTTGTGGCCAGAGCCGCAGGACACGGAGGTGGTCACAGAGCGTCTGTTCCCTCTATTGCTGGACTTTCTACCTACCTCACAGAAACACAATCCTGTAGTGTACTGCTGTTGTATATAGTGTTATAATGTTGTTGTGGCCAGAGCCGCAGGACACGGAGGTGGTCACAGAGCGTGTTCCCGCTATTGCTGGACCTTCTACCTACCTCACAGAAACACAATCCTGCAGTGTACTGCTGTTGTATATATTGTTACAATGTTGTTGTGGTCAGAGCCGGAGGACACGGAGGTGGTCACAGAGCGTCTGTTCCCTCTATTGCTGGACTTTCTATCTACCTCACAGAAACACACTCCTGCAGTGTACTGCTGTTGTATATATTGTTACAATGTTGTTGTGGCCAAAGCCGGAGGACACGGAGGTGGTCACAGAGCGTGTTCCCGCTATTGCTGGACCTTCTACCTACCTCACAGAAACACAATCCTGCAGTGTACTGCTGTTGTATATATTGTTACAATGTTGTTGTGGCCAAAGCCGGAGGACACGGAGGTGGTCACAGAGCGTGTTCCCGCTATTGCTGGACCTTCTATCTACCTCACAGAAACACAATCCTGCAGTGTACTGCTGTTGTATATATTGTTACAATGTTGTTGTGGCCAGAGCCGCAGGACACGGGGGTGGTCACAGAGCGTGTTCCCGCTATTGCTGGACCTTCTACCTACCTCACAGAAACACAATCCTGCAGTGTACTGCTGTTGTATATATTGTTACAATGTTGTTGTGGCCAGAGCCGCAGGACACGGAGGTGGTCACAGAGCGTCTGTTCCCTGTATTGCTGGACTTTCTACCTACCTCACAGAAACACAATCCTGTAGTGTACTGCTGTTGTATATAGTGTTACAATGTTGTTGTGGCCAGAGCCGCAGGACACGGAGGTGGTCACAGAGCGTCTGTTCCCTCTATTGCTGGACTTTCTACCTACCTCACAGAAACACAATCCTGCAGTGTACTGCTGTTGTATATATTGTTACAATGTTGTTGTGGTCAGAGCCGCAGGACACGGAGGTGGTCACAGAGCGTCTGTTCCCTCTATTGCTGGACTTTCTACCTACCTCACAGAAACACAATCCTGCAGTGTACTGCTGTTGTATATATTGTAACAATGTTGTTGTGGTCAGAGCCGCAGGACACGGAGGTGGTCACAGAGCGTCTGTTCCCTCTATTGCTGGACTTTCTACCTACCTCACAGAAACACAATCCTGCAGTGTACTGCTGTTGTATATATTGTTACAATGTTGTTGTGGTCAGAGCCGCAGGACACGGAGGTGGTCACAGAGCGTCTGTTCCCTCTATTGCTGGACTTTCTACCTACCTCACAGAAACACAATCCTGCAGTGTACTGCTGTTGTATATATTGTTACAATGTTGTTGTGGTCAGAGCCGCAGGACACGGAGGTGGTCACAGAGCGTGTTCCCTCTATTGCTGGACTTTCTATCTACCTCACAGAAACACACTCCTGCAGTGTACTGCTGTTGTATATATTGTTACAATGTTGTTGTGGTCAGAGCCGCAGGACACGGAGGTGGTCACAGAGCGTCTGTTCCCTATATTGCTGGACTTTCTACCTACCTCACAGAAACACAATCCTGCAGTGTACTGCTGTTGTATATATTGTAACAATGTTGTTGTGGTCAGAGCCGCAGGACACGGAGGTGGTCACAGAGCGTCTGTTCCCTCTATTGCTGGACTTTCTACCTACCTCACAGAAACACAATCCTGCAGTGTACTGCTGTTGTATATATTGTTACAATGTTGTTGTGGTCAGAGCCGCAGGACACGGAGGTGGTCACAGAGCGTCTGTTCCCTCTATTGCTGGACTTTCTACCTACCTCACAGAAACACAATCCTGCAGCATACTGCTGTTGTATATATTGTTACAATGTTGTTGTGGCCAAAGCCGGAGGACACGGAGGTGGTCACAGAGCGTCTGTTCCCTCTATTGCTGGACTTTCTATCTACCTCACAGAAACACACTCCTGCAGTGTACTGCTGTTGTATATATTGTTACAATGTTGTTGTGGCCAGAGCCGGAGGACACGGAGGTGGTCACAGAGCGTGTTCCCGCTATTTCTGAACCTTCTACCTACCTGACCGAAACACACTCCTGCAGTGTACTGCTGTTGTATATAATGTTACAATGTTGTTGTGGCCAGAGCCGGAGGACATGGAGGTGGTCACAGAGCGTCTGTTCCCGCTGTTCATGGACCCCCAACTCGCTCTGGCCATGGTCGGTCAAGGAGGCCGATACAAGCGCCACGGTATTGTAGACGAATGCTGCCACAACCCTTGTACTGTGAACGAACTAAGGAACTACTGCGGCTCGGCTGAGTACTAACGAACAGCCACTGATCTTGTAATTATGTACATTTGTATCTATTACTTGTATCAATTTGTAGTTATTTAAATATACTGATAGTAATATAAAACTGAGTAGGTCTTCTTAAAAACAATTCCAGTGTTATATTACAGTGGGTTAACCTCATAGCAGATTAAACACTCATACATATTATGATATAAGCATTTATATTTAAGTCTTGTTATATTCTTACATGAAGATAGAAACTACTGTGTGAATTAAACAGCTCCAACTAAATTAAATAGCTACAACCATAACACGAGGTAGGATCCATTTTTTTTATGGAAAATCACTAAAAGTATCAAAATTATTAATGGGTAAGAATAATTTTAATGTTTTCAAGATGCGTTCAGGATAGTGAGGTAGGCAACAAGTGAAAAGCAAACTCAATGTTAGGGATTTGTTTCAGTTGATAGGGAAAAAGAAATTGACACAGCATATAATTGAGTTATATTTTTATTACGAAAGACAATATGAACTTAGTTCTCGTAAACTGCAAGCCTTCATACAACACTCGTCCACGACTCCACGTCTCATACGTGTCGTGGTCAACATGGAGACGGCTTGTCTGCGAGTCCTCCAGTACTCCCATCCTCTACCACGGTCTGCAACATGTGACATGAGTAAGCTACTAGAGTATAGTACATACTGTTGCAACACTTGTCCAAGACCCCACGTCTCATACGGGTCGTGGATAACATGGAGACGGCTTGTCTGCGAGTCCTCCAGTACTCCCATCCTCTACCGCGGTCTGCAACATGTGACATGAGTAAGCTACTAGAGTATAGTACATACTGTTGCAACACTTGTCCAAGCCGCCACGTCTCATACGGGTCATGGGTAACATGGAGACGGCTTGTCTGCGAGTCCTCCAGTACTCCCATCCTCTACCACGGTCTGCAACATGTGATATGAGTACGTTACTAGAGTATAGTACAGACTGTTGCAACACTTGTCCAAGACTACTCGTCTCATACGGGTCATGGATAACATGGATACGGCTTGTCTGCGAGTTCTCCAGTACTCCCAGCCTCTACCACGGCCTGCAACATGTGATGTGAGTAAGCTACGAGAGTATAATACAGACTGTTGCAACACTTGTCCAAGACTCCACGTCTCATACGGGTCATGGATAACATGGAGACGGCTTGTCTGCGAGTCCTCCAGTACTCCCAGCCAGCCAGCCTCTACCACGGTCTTCAAAATTTGATATAAGTAAGCTACTAGAATATAGTACAGGGTGGCGCAGATGGATTGGGCGGTTTTAAAATATTGTCAAACTGTCAATTTTATAGGCATTGGATTTAAATAAAAAGCAAAACGTGTAGTTACAATGGAAGTTTATTGACAAAAAATTATATAAGTTAGTTTTTAAAAAATACATCCATCAAATGCCTTCCTTCTCGAGCGACGCATTCTTGGAGTCGGTCCTTGAGGTCCCGCATTGCTCGCTCAAGCACATCACCAGGAATTGATGTGATTTCGTTGTGAATTGCAGCCTTCAACTCCTGAATGGTCCGGGGTTTGTTCATGTAGACCCTTGCTTCAGGAGTTGAAGGCTGCAATTCACAGCGAAATCATATCAATTCCTGGTGATGTGCTTGAGCGAGCAATGCGGAACCTCAAGGACCGACTCCAAGAATGCGTCGCTCGAGAAGGAAGGCATTTGATGGATGTATTTTTTAAAAACTAACTTATATAATTTTTTGTCAATAAACTTCCATTGTAACTACACGTGTTGCACTTAATTTCAATCCAATACCTTTAAAATTGACGGTTTGACAAGTATTTTAAAACCACCCGATCCATCTGCGCCACCCTGTACATACTATTGCAACACTCGCCCATGAATCAAAGTCTTAAACGTATCATGGATTACATAGAGACGGCTCCAAAAAGTTACATATTTTAATTATGGACGTTAGTAGTACTACAACTTTAAATTTTATGTTTCTAGAGTTGAATTGTTGTGAAATGCAAAATGAAATGCAAATAGATTTAACTTGTCCTTGGATAATATTTCTTATATGGTTTAAATAATATTTTCCCTTTTCTATCCGTGACCACAGAACAATATGGATCAGGATATTAAGCTTGTTTCAGTCCATATTTTTAAATACTGAATAGCAAAATATTCGTAAACACTAATTAAAACATTAACATAAACATACCGTGACTGTAGTGATGATTGTTTCTCTTATTATACTTGTTGTCGCAAAGAACCATGAGTGATTGGATCAACTTTTCACCACAAAGCCGCAACCCCGAACGTTTTCTAGCGATGAGTTCCCGCAGGTCATGCTCGTGGGCCACACACAGGCACATCGCCAGTAGTAATACCACCGCCGACGTAGCACAACGCCGCATCTATCAGAACACACTATTGGTGATGAACAATATAGTGACATGAAGGGTGATCTAGTTGAGTTCCCGCAGGTCGTGCTCGTGGGCCACACACAGGCACATCGCCAGTAGTAATACCACCGCCGACGTAACACAACGCCGCATCTATCAGAACACACTATTGGTGATGAACAATATAGTGACATGAAGGGTGATCTAGTTGAGTTCCCGCAGGTCGTGCTCGCGGGCCACACACAGGCACATCGCCAGTAGTAATACCACCGCCGACGTAGCACAACGCCGCATCTATCAGAACACACTATTGGTGATGAACAATATAGTGACATGAAGGGTGATCTAGTTGAGTTCCCGCAGGTCGTGCTCGCGGGCCACACACAGGCACATCGCCAGTAGTAATACCACCGCCGACGTAGCACAACGCCGCATCTATCAGAACACACTATTGGTGATGAACAATATAGTGACATGAAGGGTGATCTAGTTGAGTTCCCGCAGGTCGTGCTCGAGGGCCACACACAGGCACATCGCCAGTAGTAATACCACCGCCGACGTAGCACAACGCCGCATCTATCAGAACACACTGTTAGTGATGAACAATATAGTGACATGAAGGGTGTTCTAGCTGATTTCCCTCAGGTCATGCTCATGAAATGAAATGAATGAAATGAAATGAAATTAAATGAAATGAAAATGAAAATCCTTCTTTATTGAGGCGAACTTAGGACCTCATGGTCCTTTCTTACAGTTAACCTCTAAATAATAATAGTAATAACAATAATACATGATATGAACAAAAGTAAAATACACATTTCGTAACATAATTAATAATAAACAACATAACATACATTTCTTTTCCTAGCATACAGTCACACACACACATACACTCTTTGCAGCAGCTAAGCCTAACGCACGCCATCCCGCCACGCCACTACCATCCGGTTGAGATAATATTCTTTCAGTGTCGCCTTCAGTCGGGATCGGTTTTCTATGGATTTAATGGCATCGGGTATAGAGTTCCATAGGCGGCATGCTGTGACTACAAATGATTTATTATAAATAGTTGTTCTGTGACGAGGAATGCGCAACGTAGACGAGCCAGAGCGAGTATCCCTTGCAACAAAGTATCCCTCATGGACAACACACAGACACAATACCACCGCTGACTTAGCACAACGCCGCATCTATCAGAACACACTGTTAGTGATGAACAATATAGTGACATGAAGGGTGTTCTAGCTGATTTCCCTCAGGTCATGCTCATGGACAACACACAGACACAATACCACCGCCGACTTAGCACAACGCCGCATCTATCAGAACACACTGTTGGTGATGAACAATATAGTGAAAAGTGACAAGAAGGGTGTTCTAGCTGATTTCCCTCAGGTCATGCTCATGGACAACACACAGACACATCGCCAGTAGTAATACCACCGCCGATGCAGCACAACGCCGCATCTATCAGAACACACTGTTTGGTGATGAACAATATAGTGACATGAAGGGTGTTCTAGCTGAGTTCCCTCAGCCCAGGTCATACTCGTTAAACTAAGAACTCATTAAACTAATAAATAAATATGGCATTTTAAAGGTGATATTTGAATAAAAATCTAATTAAGCAAATGGAAATTCGCTTAGTCTGCAGGTTTGCTGCGGTGGCGGGTGTATAAAATGATTTACATCTGGATAGATCTCAACAACATTGACTCCATATAGTGCCAATGATAGAGATTCTTGCTAGAGCAAAGAGTCAATTAATAAATGTTGATCAAGAAGTTATTTAAATAAATAGATGTAACTCATCTAAATTAGTTATAAATTTAAATACAGAATTCTAAAACCTTATGTTTGAGTCAATAATCTTAAATCGTTAACATCAGCATATTCTGATGATGGCGAGATGGCAAATAAAATACAGTTAAAAAAACAAGTCTGTAAACGTTTAATGTTAAGTACCGATAACAAATTTACGAATTAATAAAAAAAATAAAAAAAATAAAAAAAAACAGAGTTGATCAATACCTACTTTGCCTATGCTTAAAATGTTTTAAAAATGCCCACTTCAAGGCACATCTTTGAGCTCTTCTATATATATATAATCCAATGTACCTATGTATGTTTGTTTGTTTGTTTGTCCTTTATGGACTCCGAAACAGCTCGACAGATTGTAATGAAACTTTCAGGCATTATTAAGCATTATTCATGGATGGTTTGTGTGCAGTTTGGTGCAGATCCGTCAAAAGGGCTCCGCCCCAGTGGCTCTGGAGTTTCCCATGTTAACCTTATGAGTACTCATATTTAAATGGAACTAGCTGGCCCGACAGACGTAGTCCTGTCCTAATGTGGTTATTTCCAAGATGAGCTCGTTCGCATGGCTCAATCACGTCCAGGTTGACATTCGATTACTACGCTCACTCACCTTTTGGCTGCAAATTAGCTGTTGTCATAAATTTAAAAAAATAATAGTTCTGTACCCTGTTGGTAAACGTATTAACTTTTTAATGCTATTGCACATCACAGAATCAAATTGTTTAGTTGAACCAGCTGTTAAGATTCTGGGATTCTGTTCCATTTAAATATAAGTAATCTTAAGGTTAACATTGGAAACTTCAGAGCCACTGGGGCGGAGCCCTTTTGACGGATCTGCACCAAACTTCACACAAACCATCCATGAATAATGCTTAATAATGCCTGAAAGTTTCATTACAATCTGTCGAGTGGTTTCGGAGTCCATAAAGGACAAACAAACAAACATACATTGGATTATACAAGGTTAGTAAAAAGTGTGGAGACCCCCTGTTATTTTTTTAACGGCCCATACTAGAAAAACTAAACTCGGCACACCTTTATGACATGTTATGAAGTACTTTTTGGACATAACCGTCACTTAATGTACATCCCCAAAATAGGGGGTTTTGGGGGGAAACTCAAAAATTTCAAATACAAAGACCCATCGAGTGACCGCTCATTTTGAAGGCCCTGGTAAAAGAAAACCAAAAACGCAAACTAGAGGTCTTTATCTCAATCCAGTAAAAAATGGCAGCTAATTGAAATTCTCATAAGTTCCTAAACCCAAAATGGGGGATTTTGGGGAAAACTCCAAAATTTTAAATGATAAGCCCCATTGAGTGACCCCTCATTTTGAAGGTCATAATAAAAGAAAAGTAACAACGCAAACTATATAGGTCTCTATCTTAACACAATAAAATATGGCAGCTAATTGAATGTAAAATTGCAAGTTATTTCCAACAATTAAAAAAGTTTAAAATTGCAAGCTTTTATTGAACACTTCAGCTGGTTCAACGAAACAATTTGATGCTGTGATGTTCAATAGCATTAAAAAGTTAATAGGTGTACCAACAGGGTGGAGCACTATTATATTTGTTAATTTATGACAACAGTTAATTTGTAACCAACGGGTGAGTGAGCGTAGCGAAAGAACTTCAACCTGAAGGTGATTTAGCGTAGCGAACGAGCTAAACCTGAAGGTGAGTGAGCGTAGCGAACGAACTTCAACCAGGACGTGATAGAGCCATGCGAACGAGCTCATCTTGAAAATGAACGAACATTTGACATAAGACCACATTAGGACAGGATGACGTCTGTCGGGCCAGCTAGTTAAATTAATAAAATAATCCTACCCTATTTTAAGATCAATGTATTTTTCTAAATAGAAATAATGCTATTTAATGGACATTAAATGAACGTCTAAATACTTCTTCATAAATTTAGATTAATTAGTAACTCCAATACCTGTTTTGCGTTTCTGTGAGAATCAAAAGATGAACATGGACTCTGACGGGGTAGTCCAGGACTCGGCTGGGACTAACCTGGCACAAATAGTGAAGAGGGTACACGGCTAGGTTAAGGTATATATAACATCATCGAGGGTATTAAAATGTTAATGGGTTGCTACCTGCGTACCTTGGGTTGATTGGTATAGTTCCTCGTACTGCAACCTTGGTAGATTCATTAATAGAGGGAGCTGATCGGTTAAATTGTCCTCCAACAGTGTGGAAGTAATTCACAAATGTTTAGCTAGATACTTGCGTAGACTATGGTGTTCCATAGTTATTTTAAAAGTTGAAAGATTTTAGTTTTCACGTATAGCACTTTTATCATGGTTTACATTTGTAGGTGGTTCTGATTGTACTATTTAAATAGCATCTTCAGCTTTCCATTAGCCAAATTTGAACGTTAAATTCAGTAATATTACTCTCACGTCTGGGCTATAATTTATTCCGTTAACAATAGTGTCTCGTATACCCTTTCTCGATCATGGTGCGTTTAACCATAGAAAAATAGAATGAATATAGACTGTCAAATGAAGGTTCCGGCACCCAAAGCTAGGAGTACCGTGTAGTTACGCCGCACACTACTGCAGGTGAGGAGCGCAATAGCCGTATGTGACCAGCAGACGCTGCAGCGGTGTGCGCCGTTACTACATGGCAAACCTAGCGGTGGACGCCAGAACTTATGCTAACCGAAGCACAGCTGATGATCTATATTTATTCTATTTGTCTATGGTTTAACAGACATTTTCATTTTTGTGATAACTGAACCATCACTGTGACACTACAGCTGTGTTAGAACTTCCTCAAATAGATTAAATTTCCCCGTTGCAGCTGGCCTGGTACTTTTAGCGACTGTCTAGAAAGTGTTTGACAAGTATTAAATTACAGTATGATAAAGACGGTAGCTCATAGAGCTTTATCACATACCCTGAGCGTTATCCTATCCCGCCCGTATTCCCTACCCTTTAATTATTTATATCAATGCGGGGCAGTAACATGTCCAACCGTCAACCTTCTATAGGTAGGAAACTCAGTGTAGCAGATACAGGGAACTCAGGTAACTCACTACATATATTACTACATATATTACTACATATATTACTATAGTCTAACTAGCTGTAACTACTAGACATTATACAAACAAGAGATATAAGCATTTCGTTACAATACAATATACAATATAGTGTGTATTGAAGGTCTACGTTTTTTTGTTTATTACTGATCCGGTTCCCTTAAATTTGTACATGCCAATAAAAGTTGATTTATTTTGTACTGTAATCACACCTGGTAACCCAATTTCAAACATTTCTTAGAATAAAACGAGCTTGGGAATCACCATGTTGAGTCTTAACTATACTTTTACACTATTATATACCGGGTGTCCCTATTTTTGAATTGATATGACAGACGTATAGAGCGCGTTTATACAGTCGTGACTAACACATGGTGCTGCCCCCGAGTCCCAATTAATTCTGATTGATCCAAACAAAATGGCGGAAAAACAAGAAAATTGACAATCCTATTTTAAGGGTAAACCTACTTTTATTTAGATTATTTCTTTGATATCCCGCCATTTTGTCCTAATGTGTCAGAATTAACTGATACTCTGGGAATTTCTGTTACACATGTGTATGTTAGGACTGTTGAGTTTCAGGGTTGAAGAGTGTTTGGTGCGTCTAATATATTAATTCACAAATAGGGACCTCTTCGTGGGACACCGGGTATAAATCTAATGGTGTCTGTATGTATGTGTGTTGCTCAATATCGTAAAAACTACTAAACCGAGTGGGCTTAAATTTTTCAAAAAATATAGCTACCATACCAAGAATATTATTAACACTTCGATGATGAGCGTGGGCTTTGCCCCTTTGGTTTTAAAAGTTCTGAGATGAGGAGTTTAAAAGTAAACATTTATTGGTCTCCATGGCTGCAATGAGAATACTCACAATGTTTACACTTGCTTTGATATTCCAATGTTAACAAGAAGAACTGCCACATTGCATATTTCACCATTTCAGACAGCTGATCCAAAGAAATTAAATATAATATTTTACCTAACCCACCATGTTAAACTTCCCTATACCAAGCGTGATGGTATAACTTCTTTACTTCACGAGTGATGTAAAGTTGAAAAAAAAACTCACTCGGTGAGGTAATGAAGCCCATTTAAATAACATTGAGTGCATAGCTTAAAAAATATACCTCTATGGAGCCAACGACGTTCAACGCTAGAAATCAGCTGTGCGCTTGAATTTTATTGTTATGCTTTGAAGAATTTTCCTAACCTAGCTTTTGTTTGTAAATGATAATGATGGACGTTACTGTTAGAAGATGAGTGAAGTGGATAATGAAAAATATTGTTCGTAACCTCCTGTATATTGTTGGGTCAGGTAAAATCTTGTACGTTACACGTTACGCAAGAGCTTGTTTACATCACTATGGAGAATGGCATTAGGAGAATTATGCAACTCTGCGTGATGTAAAAACGCTCTTAATACTCTTGTAACGTAAATAGCTTTTACATAACTAGGTGGTAATTTTATTTTTAATCTAAAACTTTATCATAGATTTTTTATTCTTAAACTATGTCAGTGGTTGTATACATAAAAAAATATTCTATAATCGTTGCTGTATCAACCCAGGTTCTGCTTTCGGCTTTTTAAGTGTCTAAGTTATGAATATAATGTTATTTCATGAAAAACTATGAAAATTACAACGTATAAATGTTTTGTATGAATTTGGTGGCTTTTTGTTTATAAATCCGAACTTCTTAACATGTATTGGATTAACTTAACATAGCTATAACACTTCACATAGACTTTTTTATATTTAGTTAAATTGTTTAGTGATTGTGTTTTGCTACACTTATGCTTAAAATAAATTATGTAGAATATCATAAATAACTACATTGTACGCCGTTGATTTTTGTGTTCCAAAATTTGTGGTATATATGTAACTATATTGAATTATTGAATGGTAAATCAAGATACTCTTATTTTATCTTAACATGTACTTCACATTTACTTTATTGCATTTTGATAAATTTATTATTTGTGTTTTTCTACACCGCTGATTAAAATAAAACAATAATATCACAGATTAAGCTGGAAACAGTGTTATTTAGTTTCTAAAAGTAATTAAATATCTGTAACTATGTTTACTTAATCAATGTTAAGTGTGAAAATGTAGAGGCAATGGTCTATGGAATTGATTAAAAGAACTGTTTTGTATAATGTTGTTCGTTGATATTTTTGTAGAATGTAATGAAACATAAACTGTATTTACTATTACATTTTTTAGTCCTTGATGTTTTGACAATCATATTAGTTTTGTCTGCCGTATTTAATGCTCTACTCATTTTTAAATCTAATAATATGTAGGCTACTAAAGATGTAACAAAATAATTCTTTTCGATGATTTACTAAAAAATAAATCCTTATTGACATTACTACTTATACGAGCTAAATTGATAATTTATAACTTTTTATAGTGTATGTATCGTTTCTTTAACATTTCAAAAGACTGTTGATAAGGCACAAGAATATTTCTAAATTATAATTTATCTTCATAGTACCAGGAATGCGTTTATATGACAAACCTTGGCTAATCGTATCTCGTCAGACAATCCTTGACAATATGATTTAAAACGCCGGAACGATTATTTGATAAAGATTTAGTATGTTGTAGCCCTTTAAATTCCGAACGAAATGGTACGACTCCCATGTCTGTAAAAATTATGATTCAAAATTTATTGTAAATTATGTTATTTTCCCATGAAAAACCCATAACATTACGAAAAATAGGATTTTAGAAAAAAAAACTGAATTGTTTTAACTTAGTTGGTATGGTCTTTAAAATTCTGAACGTGTTTTTATTTATTTTTTTTTATTTTTAATGGGGATTTCCCATAAAACCTCATAAAATAAAGGAAAAATCAGATTTTCTCGAAAATTACCCATACGATTTTCTTAAAAATGTAGTATGTTATAATCCTTTAAATTTTTAACAAAATGGCACAGATCCCATTTCCGTAAAAATTACGGTTTAAAAGTTATTGTAACTTATGTTATTTTCCCATTTAAAAACCCATAAAATAACAAAAATCGGATTTTTGGAGAAAAGCTGGTTTTGATCAAAATTAATATGTTATGGTCCTTATAATTTAAAAAAAACTGTACAACACCCTATTGCTGGAACAATTATGGTTGAAAAATTATTGCATCTTTTGTGATTTTAACTATCAACTATCACCGCTTACCCATGATAAAGGTTTTTGACAAGCTTTTGGGAGAAAGTATGTGTCAGAATGCTGATACCGTTTATTCATTTTGATGTCCCCAGAGGCCAAAAACACCACTCGTTCAAATTTATATATATAGCATACGTCCGGGAACTTGGGGTTTTGTCCAATTTTGATTAAATTTGGTTTAAAGGTGTGAGGATAAAGTTGAATGAGTTAGCGAACCAGCATGATCGGACCATGGGAACGGGGTTTTACTGGGGGTTTAATGTGGGGTAAATAATGGTTTTTTCTAATTTTTGACCCTCAAAACACAAACTTTTCCAATTTCTCTCTAGGTCTTTTTAAAGAGCTTACAAAAATAATTGAGTATATCAAAGTGTTTTTGTACGATTATTGGTAACGGAAAAAATTCAAGAAATTGTTAATTTAAAATTCTCATGTTATGGAGAATGTTGTAAAATGTATATCCATAAACAAGTTTGCTTGTTTATGGATATATTTTGAGCAAACTTGGGGCATTTATTTATTTTATAGACCTACTAAGCTATTAATATATATTTTTTAATACAGTTTGTTAGTTTCCTTGTAGCAGCAAACCTAGGTATCCGTTAAACCTAATGCTATTTACTATATAGATTTAATAATGGTTTAAAACGTACCTTGTCAGACAATCCTTGACATGTTTTATAGTGTCGAAAATAACTTGCTACATGTTTCGGTGGTTATTAAATTCCACCATCGTCAGGCACACAAAAGGATCCACTTCTTGAGGTGTCGACAGAGTTGTT